TAAAATGCGTGCACACATCCAAATTGATAAATCGAAAGCTCGATACATGTTTGGTATTATTGATGAGTATGATGTACTTGAGTATGGTCAAGTGTTTGTTCAATATTCGAATATGGATTCAAAAAACTTACTCAATACGACAGTATTAACAGGACCAGTTACAATCACAAAAAATCCTTGTCATCATCCTGGCGATTTGAGAACGTTCAATGCCGTCGATCGGCAAGAATTAAGACATTTACATGATTGCATTGTTTTTCCAGCAAAAGGGCCGAGACCAGATCCAAACGAAATTGCAAGATCGGATCTCGACGGGGACGAATACACAGTAATTAAGGATGAAGATTTAGTACCATTAATGACAGAAAATGCTATGCCGTATGATTACGATGCTGGAATTAGACAAGAAAAGTTAGATCGTCCAATAACAAAATCTGACATTATTGGTGTTGTTTTAAATATTTGTGAACAAGACAATATTGGACGATTAAGTAATTTGCATTTGGCATACTCGGATAAAAAAGGTCTTGATCATCCAGAAACTATTTTAATAGCAGCTGGTATTAGTAAGGAAGTGGATGCTGTTAAAACTGGGTATCATCCATATACAGAATATGAAATTATACAATTAAACAAAGCACTTGGCAACGAAAGACCAGACCATATGGAATGCAAAAGTTATAAATCATATCCATCAAAAACAATTTTAGGTATGCAAAACAATAGCAACACTATTAGATTGAGATACTAAGGGTAGAGATGTGCAAGGTCAAACTTTTTTGGTCACAGTCACGGACGGTTGCTCAGGGGCTATGGTAGAAAGTCCAAAGGGAATTGTCTCCATGTGGTCTGCTTGAGAAGCAATGCATGATTTCAGTTTTCTAATAGTTTCCACTATTTTCAAGACTTTTTCTTTTTCGCATATCTTGATAACCAAAGAGTCTTTAAGAGTTCAAAACGTTTTTACAGGTATATCTTTTAAATCGTGTTATTACAAAATTACAGATCTATATCTTAAGTCTAGGCGAAGGCATCAGACTGTTGGGTACCTCACTTCTGATGTTTGTTTGGTTCGTGTTCGATAGAAGTGGAAAATTATTTATCATTTCTTCTTTCAAATTTGACTGACGATAAACTAACATCAGATGTACAGTCAACGATAAATTGATGAACGAAACAAAGCAGTGAATTTATTCAAAAGTTATAGTTCAAAGTACGACACACCATTTTGAGGATGAAATTATTTTTTCTATATAACCTAAAATAATTAAATTTGAAAACAATTCTTAACAGCTCCACACAAAATAAGATTTTGTATAAATTAACTGTTTCTCAACACAATAAATAAATCTTCCATTACACATGGAAACAAAAAAAT